TAGACTAGTATATGTATTGCCCTGAAACCAATGATTAAGTGGTAATTAATAATAATCTTTGGCATAAAACAGTGAGATAGAGAGAAAGCTAGACTGGTCCAATGGCTGATACCCATGAATATTCCCATATCGATTAACTTATTCTGGCTAGACTATGCTATGTAGAAGCTGTTTGATTCAGCTCTATAATAATTTTATTTAAATAATAATAAAAATAATAACTCAACCTTATCTGCTTAATTATTATATTAATTGGATGGACAACAAACATGCGACGACACATAAGAGGACTGAACTTTGTGAAATTTTCTATTTGACCAAATTGAACAAAGTTGGCGGACTGAACATGCTGGCTGGAGGCCAATGAGATTGGTGCGTTACAACTTTAGTTTATTGGGAAAGTTTAGTTCAATATGTATCTTTAATTTTAAAATATATTTTTTTAAAAAGAGAGACTTGGTTATAATTTCGAGAAGATTAGGTTAATTATGATTTTTGAGAAGATCAAGTCCCCCACTGTCAATTTTACCCCCAGAAGATATTCAACCTCCTTAAAATTTCCCCAACTTTTATTTAATCATTTGGCGAATATCCATGTCTTTTATCACCCTTTAGAATTATTTTTTAGCAGCGCGCAATAACATCGGGATTAAATATTAATCTCATATAGTTTTTGTAAAAATATTCTTAATTTATTTAAATATATTGATTCGTGAGTTTTTAAATTTTATGTGGGAGCAATAGAAAAGTGCGGCGCCCCAAGTCCAAGTAGATATTTGGCGTAAAGACGGATTTTTGGAGTGTGGGTCCCCAAAGAAAAGAAGTTTTTCTCCCTTCCAATATACTAGTATTAAAGCAGGGCTTTAAAATTAAGGATAAAAATAAGAAAAATTACCATAAATCACATGTAAGAAAATTACTACTTCTTCGTACAAGAGATAGTTGACTAGACTTACTATTATTACTACTTTAAAAAATAAATAAATATGATAGATAAAATTAATTAGAATTTTATATTTATGACTAAAATAAAAAATAAATAAATTTTTATATTAAGAACATGAAATAATATATACTAATTGATCTTGGAAAATTTATTTTTCCTTAAAAAATTAGGAAAATCCTGGCCCCAACCTAACAGCTGACAACGAAGGAAACCGCACACCGCAAATAGATTTGTTAATGTTAGCTGGCGTTGCAAGATCCCGTACTCATATACGAGGCTGTTATGGACATCAGCTAACATTGCCGTAATGATGTACGCACCGTACTGACATGGCAAAATTTTCATCTGGCTCTGTTTATCTATATGATTCTATTTGTAGTGTATTTTTAACATGTTTTTATCGAGATTTTAAAAAACTTAAATTAAATTTTATTAACTATGGTTTAAAATTTAACAATTTTACTCCAATAAAATGCATATACTTTTCTTTCTTTTTTTGATAAAATAGTATATTTATATTAAAAGTTTAACATGATAACTTATAAATAATAAAAAAATTTCTCTTCCTCAGTTCCTCCTTTACAGATACAACCAAATAGAGGGGCAAGTCATAGAAAACTAGCCAATAAGTAATTAATAAGGACAAAATAAAAAGCCAGCCAATAAAATTTGAGACATGTTATAAATGTTTCTTATAAACATGAATAAGGTTATAAAAAAAAAAGTACTTGTTTCTTGTAAAAAGAAAGGAATTAAAGTAATTTTTCAAAGACATTGCCGTTTTTTCCCTCAGCAAAAAAATTGCCAGAAACCTGTGATAAAATAATCTTTTTCATTTTTTTACTGTAGTTCTAAATGGTTCAAATTTAACTTAAAAATTAAGATGTACACTGGAGTGGAAGTAAGAAATAAATAAATAAATAAATAAATAAATGAAAAGAGGCCTAGCATAATCCCTCGTACGCATTCCAACTCCAAGCCTCAGCCAAAAAGGAAAAGTAAAAGGAAAAGAAAAAAGGAAAACCATCGGATGAAGTGGGCCCCTGCCGAAGACAGCCGGTCGAAGAAAAGATGCCGCCGATGGAGCGTTGAGGGCAAAGTAGTGAAATTGCTGTTTAGATAAAGTGGGACCCTGTTTCCCACGTGGCGTTGAAGGCGGACCCCACTCCAATCCGCATGACCATCAAAAGCATAATTAATGCCTGTGGTGGAATGGATAACGATATGATTCACAGGTTTGCGATATATTTATTGGGAAAGGCGTCGAGGTTGACTGACTGACACGTTGGCCCCCCATTACCATCCTCCTTCTGCCACGTGGCCTCATAAAAAATAGGATACTAAAAAAATTTTTCCCTCGCATAAATATTGAATCTGCGACGTCACTTGTTTAAGAAAAATTTAAGAAAAGTACTTAATGTTATTACGTCATATGACTTCATAAAACTCCATCAATCCTTAGGAGGGACCTGATGAAAATTTGGTGATCAATTGAAATATATTCTAATTGATTAGAGGATAAATAAAACATTTCACATTTCAGCTTTTTAAAAAAAATTCACGTGCTAAGCTGATTTAATATTTTAAATTTAAATTAAATAGTCAGGTCAAAAGTCAAATTATGATGACATTGAGCCCGCGCTCTTCATTTTATTCAAATTAAAATTCATTAGTTTTGACCTGACATGGAATGAATTATTTACGTTACATGGGTTTCCGTATTCCAAAAAATAAGATGTGGGTCTTAAGTCCAAATTAGAATTTTTCATAATTTAGGAGAAATTTAGGAGGCATTTGCCTTTGACGAAGGTAAGAGGTGAGAATGGGGCCAGATGGCGAATTTTGAATGAAAGGGCATTAGCCAATCAGAGCTTGACACAACAACAAGGAAAAAAAAAACTGAAGAAAGAAGTCTCATCAACCTTCTTCTTCCCCAAGTCACATCGCCGAAACTCACCAGACAACCCTATTTATTATTTTAATCACATTATCCACTCTTTTTATTTTTTCCCTTTATATCTACTTCTTTAACCTACTCCCTTTCCGTGCTTTCTTTTCTGATTTGCCCCAAATTTAAACTTTTTTTTTTAATCTTCAATCTTGTGAGGAAAAATATATAAATTTGTTATGAGTTGATGAACAGGAAGTAAGGTTGGTAAGAAAAAGAACAGGAACTAAGGACAGATAACTTCCGTTAGATTCCAGCATGTTATGTTTAAAACATTAATTTTTTTTTTAACTAGTGACCCTAACTAATTATAAATTTTTTTAACTAGTTTTTTGTCTGCAAATTTTCTAACTAATTAATCAAACTCCTCTAACTAACGAGTCTCATTTAAAGTAATTCTGATATTTTATAGGAAATCATTAATTTTAATTTTTTTTAAATGCTTATATTGAGAAGCAAAGGAAGATAAGAACCAATCTAAATTGCCATTATATATCAACGATTACTAAATTCCAACCCGCTTACATTTACTAGATAAGTAGTTGATGATTTATACTCATTGTTTTTTTACGACGAAATGAGTAGGAAATAAAATGAAGATGGATAACCTAGTAATATAGTTTTATAATAGAGGTTATAATAGATTTAAGAGATTAATTTAGAAGTTGATTGTTACTTCCTTCTATCCTAAATATAAAACCTATTTTATAATGTAATTTTATTATACAAAATTATACTACAAAATGAGTTTTATATTTAGCATCGGAAGAATATTATTTATATCATCAATGAGTACTAGATTGCTTCAAGCTTACATTTATGAGATAAATAGTTGACAATTTATATTCCTTACTTTGTTTAATGTATAATGAGATGAATAGGGAATAAAAATGAAGATGATAACCTAGTTAACCAATATAACTCTTTAATAGAAGTCAGATCCCACTATTGGCAAAAATTCAAGACATGAATTCCTAATTAAATATTTAAATTATCAGATAATTAACTAATTGAAAATTCTCGATAATCACGCTAGATAGCTACTCTCTCCGGTCCTATTTATAATATTTCAAAATTTGAATTATTTTGATTTTTTTGTAAGATCCTATTAAGAATTGTTTGAATATTAAATGTATTTTTTATCAATTTTGTCCCTAATTAATTTTATGTTCTCTTTCATCCTTTATCTCATAAATATTATTTCTCTCTTTTATTTGCTTCCTTCTTAAATAAGGACATACTTTAAAAAAATTTTAATTTTTATATATTTATTACTTTTAACTATTTTTTAAAATAACATAATTTAATTAATAAGATCATATACAAAGGAGAGGAAGTATCAATAATTCCTTTAGTTTTATGACTCATGATTTTTCCAATCACGATTTTGTATTTATATGTCCACATGAAAACCACATTTTTGAGCAGTAAACATGAGAACCACATTAATCAGCAAGAAAACAAAACAGAACAAAAATCCCTAGCCTTGTAGGATAAAGACAAGAGGATCCGTATCCCAAGTTTTAAAAACTAGATTTGCTTTAATCACCCAATATTATCTCAAATTATTTCTTAATTTCCTTTTGCTTCCTATTAATTTCACTATACAACCACTTAGGCACACCAAATAATTTTTACAATAATGCGAACACCATATATACAAGAATCCGATACTATACATCATATAAACTAAATATACATGCATATCAAAACTTTTCTTGGGTCAAAATGAATGCATTTAAGATTTGCTTCACTTTTAAATACAAAGCGGCGCGACGTGGTCCTTTAAATTTGAACTTTTTTCTTTTTAATGTTCTCCAATGTTCACATTCACATTCTTATCCATCAACATTCACGAATCACCGGCGTCATAATTATTTGAAAAATAGCAGGGAAATGCATTTTTGTTTTAAAACTAATTATGGAGGCACCCCAGCGAAGAGAATAATCAATTACAGTTATCTCACGGATTGTCCCAGAAAAAAAGGATCACGAAGAAGATCGTGATTTCAACGAATCTGGACCGTCAATCTTGCCATATAAAATGAAGACTCCTCTCGGTCTCTCCTCGTTCTTATCCGCACTTACTAGCATTAAGTTTCCTTCTAGACATAGCTTGCTGTCATGGGAGGTGTATCAGTATCAAGAACTTCCATTTCTCGAAGATTTTTTGAACTTCCCATTTCAAACTGTAACGCCCGTATATAAATTCCCTCACCTGAAAGCAAAATCATCCCACCCCGGTTGTTCCCCACCTGCAAAGTTTTGATTTTTTTTTTGTTTTTCAATTTCTCTGGGCAATTTGATTTTCATTGTTCAGCATAATGCTTTCGAGATCTTGTTTAGACCTATTGAGTCTGGTTTCGGTCGATGATTACCGAGCACTGTGTCAGATCCCGAGAGTCTCGACGGTGCCGGGAGTTGTATCAAAATTCGACGCCGCCGAAGACGACCATGCCGACGCTGGGTCCGGATCCGACGAAGTCGTTTCGTCCGGGTCGCCAGAGCGCAGGATCATAGTCGCGAACCAGTTGCCGATACGGGCTTATCGGGATGTGAACACGAAGAAATGGAGTTTCGAATTCGATAGTGATAGTTTGGTGCTGCAGCTCAAAGACGGATTACCCTCCGACGTCGACGTTTTGTACGTGGGCTCCTTGAAGGTCGAGATCGACCCGTCGGAGCAAGACGAAGTGGCGCAAGTTTTGCTTGAGAAGTTTCAGTGCGTACCAACTTTCTTGCCCTCTGAAATTCACAATAAGTACTACCATGGCTTCTGCAAGCATTACCTCTGGCCTCTGTTTCATTACATGGTACCCATGTCCACGAGCCAAGGTGCTCGTTTCGATCGCTCGCAGTGGCAAGCTTATGTTTTGGCCAACAGAATCTTCGCGAACAAGGTAACAGAGGTGATCAACCCAGACGAGGATTACGTTTGGGTCCATGATTATCATCTCATGATCTTGCCTACGCTACTGAGGAAACGATTCCACCGGGTCAAGCTGGGATTCTTTATGCATAACACATTTCCGTCTTCGGAAATCTATAGAACTATACCCGTTCGTGATGATCTCCTTCGGGCCTTGTTGAATTGTGATTTAATCGGATTCCACACCTTTGATTACGCCAGACATTTCTTGTCCTGTTGTAGCAGGATTTTCGGTCTGGATTATGAGTCTAAGAGGGGTTACATAGGACTGGATTATTACGGTCGAACAGTGATGATTAAGATCCTGCCGGCCGGAATTCACATGGGTCAGCTTGAATCGGTGTTTTCCTTGTCGGAGACGGCTGAGAAGATCAAGGAATTGAAGAAACGATTTGAGGGGAAATTTGTAATTTTGGGTATGGATGACATGGATTTGTTCAAAGGTATCAACTTGAAGTTCTTAGCAATGGGGAAGCTCTTGGATATGCACGAGGACTTAAGGGGGCGAGTTGTTCTAGTTCAGATTCTGAACCCTGCTAGGAGCGAAGGTAAAGACATTCAAGATGTCCAAAACGAGACCAATGCGATCGCGAAGGACGTCAATGAGAAATACGGCGAAACAGGGTACCAGCCAATTATCGTCATCAACGGCCCTGTTTCAACACTTGAGAAAGCTGCTTACTGTGCCATTTCTGAATGCTGTATTGTGAATGCTGTGAGAGATGGGATGAACTTGGTGCCTTATATGTACACTGTTTGCAGACAGGGCAGCCCTGTGCTGGACAGAGCACTTGATGAAGATGATAATGATTCTGAAACGCCTAAGCAGAGTGTCATCGTAGTCTCTGAATTCATTGGATGCTCGCCGTCTCTGAGTGGTGCCATCCGAGTGAACCCATGGAACATCGATGAGGTGTCGGAGGCCATGAATTTGGCGATCACAATGCCAGAGGCGGAGAAGCATTTGCGTCATGAAAAGCATTACAAGTATATCAGCTCTCACGATGTAACTTATTGGGCTCGAAGTTTTGATCAGGACTTGGAGAGAGCATGCAGGCAGCATTATCTCAAGAGATATTGGGGCGTTGGTCTAGGCTTGGGGTTCAGAATTGTGGCTTTGGATCCTACGTTCAGGAAGCTTTCAGTGGATAACATTGCGTCTGCTTATAGAAACACCCACAATCGTTTGATCCTTCTGGACTATGATGGTACTATGTTGCCACAGCCATCTATCGACAAAACTCCGACCAACGAGGTTATTTCCATCTTGAATTGTCTATGTAGTGATCCCAAGAATATGGTGTTCATTGTGAGTGGAAGAGATAAGAAGTGCCTAAGCAAATGGTTTTCTCCATGTGAGAAGCTTGGTCTTTCTGCTGAGCATGGTTACTTCACAAGGTACACTGATGTTACATGTCAAACAATTAGTAACTGTTCGGGTCTTCATCTCTTTGCGCATCAATCTTTGTTCCTTTTCCATTTTACAGGTGGAGTAGTGATTCTTCTTGGGAGACATGTGGATTGACAATGGACTTTGATTGGAAAAGGATTGCAGAACCGGTAATGGCGCTTTACACAGAAGCAACTGATGGCTCTTTCATTGAACAAAAAGAAAGCGCACTGGTTTGGCATCATCAAGAAGCTGACCCTCACTTTGGATCATCCCAAGCCAAAGAGCTTCTTGATCACCTTGAGAGTGTTCTTGCCAATGAACCAGTCATTGTTAAAAGAGGACAACACATTGTGGAAGTAAACCCTCAGGTATAAATCACAGTATATAAGTTATGTATGAGATTCACTTTTTCTCTCTGATATAATATATATGGGATGTGAAATTCTGAGATGCAGGGTGTGAGCAAAGGCATAGCAGTGGAAAGCCTCATATCAAGCATGAGGAGTGAGGGAAAGTCTCTGGATTTTCTGTTGTGTATAGGAGATGATCGTTCAGATGAAGACATGTTTGAGAGCATTGCTTCCACAGTCTCTAATCCAAACCTGCCAACCATAGAACATGTATTTGCATGCACAGTTGGTCAGAAACCAAGCATGGCTGAATATTATTTGGATGATACCTGCGAAGTCATCAAGTTGCTCAAAGGACTTGCTAATGCTACTTCTGCATCACCACCCTCAAGGCCTCTATATTCTCTGGAGGATTCACAAGGGTCTCCATAGAAAAGAAGGAAAAGAGTTAGAAAGAAACTGGTGTTGATGATGCTAAAAGAACAATCTTTTGTACAGATAGTGATGGTGCTTACTTTCCATAGGTTCATTTAAAAAGTCAAATACATAGAAACCCACAGGTTAGATGATTCTGTTCTGCATACAACTGGCGGGAAATCTTTTTACAAATTCAAGTTCATTCTCTGTGCAAAGAAAGCGTTCCTCAATAAAAATCAGTATTTGCATTAGTTCTTCTGCACATATTCTTGTTCTGTTTCCTCTTTATTATCAACTGTTGTTAAACTAATCATCGAGGTCCATTTAGACTTGCAATCGCTTGACGAGAAGGAAGATCATTCAAAGGACAGAATTTTCTTCACTGATGAAGTGTAAATCGGTCATTAATCAAGTGGTTGAATGCTTCCGTTTTTCCAACAGATTATGAAGCTAGTAGCAGTTAGCAACTTATCCTGACAAACTGTCACCTCTTATTAATCCGTGGAAACTTCTATCTACACTTTAGGTATATGTCGAAATTCTTGACTTGGAAGTAAGTGATTGATAAAGAAGGAAGACATTAAAGGAAATTTTATCAAGTTACGTAATATAAAAAGATTCAACTTCATCTAGTGGTATGATTGGTTAATACAACAGAAAGATAAGATGAATCAATCATGACTATTACAATCTATTCACTTTTTATATCTTACAGAGAGAATAAAAATCCAATTAAAAGTTTGGACCGACAAAAAATTGAACTTGGCCTTAAATTGAATTAGTTAAAATATGGTTTTTTTTTTTTAAATTTTGATCAAAATGAGGATTTTGATATTTTGCAGTAAAGATTTATGACCATCCCCAACTCATTACTGAACAGCAAATCGCTCAGATCATGTTTGAATGACTGAATCCAATTTGTTTTAGTTTGAACACAATGGATAAAGCTGCACGTTTGTTTCTCATTTAGGAAGCAATAAATGCTTATTAAGGCAAAAACTGATGGATTAATTACTGAAGTTACATATATCTGTTGTGCTATAAAGTACAGAAAGAACTACTGGTTATTATTACTGAACACACCCGTTTGTGGTTTTGTGAAGAATTGCAAGGCAAGCTTTAATTTATTATGGTTGATGCTAAGTAAGGAAGGAAAAATTGATGAAAATTGAAATGAACTGTTCACCCAACCACCTTGATGACAAAGATGGAAAGGATAAGATGCTGCTATAGGTTAAAAAAAGGGAGACTTGATGATTCAAAAATTGTCTATAAGCTAAGGAATAAGAATTTTTACTTTGCTTACTGTTAAAGATTGCCATGTATCATAACTATAAAGCGTCATTTCACACATGCGTTTACAAATTATTAAGATGTTCTTCTACATCACAATCATATCACTGCGTATAAGATCTCTTGAAATATTGTTTTATTGGCCACTTCCTTGAAAATCTTATCCGGAAGTTGTAATTAGTCATGAAACTTACAGAGGGAGAGAAAGAGACAGAGACACGAATCATTTCAAGCACACGGACGACTGAAGCGAAGAGAAGAGAACATCAGATGAAATTGAAAGATTTGTTTATTTTCTCTAAGTGCTTAATATGATACTTCCCTGTCCTTTTTTTTTTATATAAGAAATAGTTAATCAAATCATATCAACTAAAAAAATTAGTTAAAATTGATTAGAGACAATAAATATGTAAAAATTATAACTTTTTTTTTTAAATTCTTATTTATAGGGAGGAGAGTTCAAGAGAAAATAAGGAAATTATTAAAATAAAAAGGATTGTAAAAGAGAAAGAATGCATGGTGGAGAGAATGCTTGAGGGGCCATGTAATGACAAATGTCTTGATATTAAAATGAGTAACTAAATATGAGCAAAATAAGAAATTAATAAAGAGAGTTTAAGACATTCTCTTAATATCTTTTACAAATAGTAAGTTGTTTTTAATAAGAAGGAATGGACGGAGTACTATATAAGGCAATGGTTGGTTTTGTCATATGCAAATGATGCCCATGCATAGAGTACAACTTGAAAAAGAAAAGTTAGAATATGCAACGTGTTAATAAGAGGAAAAAAGATCAAGAACTAGTTTTTTTTTTTTTTAATGGGCAAACCAACGTTTTCAATTTTTTATTGAGAGTAGCTCCTATATTTAGTGTCCAATGACATCTAAAATAGGTCTCTTGTAGAAATATACTATCTCTGATCCTTAATATAAGAATTAGTTGACTAATTTGAGTAGATTAAAAAATTAATTAAATTAATTATTTGCAATAAATAAGTGTTATCTCTTTTAGAATACCTTTATTAATTATGTATATTAGGTAGAAGTACTATTTGATAGAATCTTTAATATGTGCAACTATTATAAGAATTATTTTGAAAAATAGATAAATATGAAAAAAAAATGAATTGAGGTTTTATATTTAAAATTAAATTGAATATCAAACTTATTCTTTTATTAAGGATAGGAGGTAGTAAGATGAAAAATTAAGGAATAACAGAAACAAAAGATTATGAAAACCTTTTATCCAAGTGTAAGAACTGCCAGTGATGATTACGCTCAGCATATTAGCACTTATATTATTCTTGTCCAGAATTTCCAAATTGCGGTTCAGACACGGTTATGTGAACCTTCCTCAACCATGGCAAGAAGATGATTGTCGTAACTTGAAATCCGTGAGGAAGGTAGACCGAAGTTTTGATTTAGCCCCCTCTGAAAGCCCATAGGTCCTTCTTATATGACTCGGAATTCCAAGTCCAACCAACTCAACTTACCAAATGACTCCCAAAGATGCAGTTTTGTTTTTGCCCGGCGTAAAGATGGAGTTTGGATAGCCCGTGTGGATTATAGTGAAAGAGATTTTGGCAATTTAGTAAGAAGTATAACTACTAACCAAGTCTCAATAACAACATAGCAGCTTGTAATGATAAGTTTCGGAATAGTAAATGATAATTGATCGCTTGTTATAAGAACTTATTAGTATTTTTTGTTTGGATTTCATTATAAATCTCCCAATTCAGTAAGCATATAATATAATATAGGAAAAACTAATTTGGGGGTCCTTGTAATTTTATGTCATTTTTAATCAAGTCCTTGAAGTTTTTTTTTTTTAATGAGCTCTTTTAAGTTTTCACCGTTACATCCGTTAGCCCTTGTCCTTCAAAATCGTTAATGGACTCTTGACAGATGTTTAAGAGGACTGAGTTTGCTGACAGCAGAGTTTGAAGACTGAGTAACAAGGTGTTCTTCCCTTCCTCCATTTGTTTTTGTTTGCTGCTAACCATAAGTCTATCAACAGTGAAAATCACAATGCAAGTGATGTTGGGTTTAAAGCTGCAATTGACGTCGCACTACTTCAACTCTTAAGGGTTGTTCAACCAAAAATCAATGCAAATTCTTAATAACAAGGTGAGTGATATTAATTCAGATCTTCTTCATCCCATATGGAATGGGCATACCTTGGCAAATATTGGGACAATACATTTAGCTCATGAAATTACAAAGGCTACCAATGCAAATTGGCTTGAAATAGTTGATGAACCAAAGAGGCATCCTTGGGATTTCAAGAAGAAGAAATTTTGCAGCAGAACCAGCAAGACACCTTGTCCATGATTTCCTCCTATTCCAATACAGTGCAGTCCACATGACCTTGGCGCTCCTCTAGGAATTGCGGAATTGGTCGGCAGACATGCCAGCCCACCGTTAACGAACTTGGAGAAGGCCTCCTTGAGGTCTGAACCAGATCGGCAGTCTTGTACTTCGCTCCGCCGATGGATTTGTGGTGAGCAGCAACCAAAAGCAAATGGAGGGAGGGAAGGGCACCTGTTCATTGCAGGTGCGAAAGGCATCTTCTGCTCAGTCTTCAAACTCTGCTGTTAGCAAACTTAGTCCTCTCAAACATCTGTCAAGAATCTTTTAACGATTTTGAAGGACAAGGGCTAACGGATGTAACGGTGAAAACTTAAAGGAGCTCATAAAGAAAAAAAAAAAACTTCAAGGACTTGATTAAAAATGACATAAAATTACAAGGACCCCAAATTAGTTTTCCCTTTATTTTTTATAAGACATGATTGTAATTCTCCTGAACATTTCCGAAGCGAAGGGAGAAATTTATTATAATCATGGATTTTTGTGTTTTGACCAGAAAAATGGTCAAACAGGCCTGGGCAGGTGGGCGAGAACTCAGCCCAATGGGCCATCTTTTCCTGTTAGGCCACAAGAACCCAAGCCTGGACGCCATAAACCTAGGGGGTATTGTGTATGTTTAGTTACAAGATTATCAGCGCGTTTGGATCTCCGATAAAGACCGCAAATGCGCCTGGCAATATGTTTATGTTTGCGTAGCGTTTTTTTCAAAAAACTGTTGAGCCTCATCGCGAATCAACCATCAACGATCTCCTCGAAAACTTATGATATCCAGTTCTTTTAAAATTGGGTTGGATGTGGTATTATAGGATCCAAGTATATGTAATTAATGATATTTGAATATATTAAATTAAATGAGAAACATTATAAATAAATAGAATTTCAACTAGAAGCTCAAATGACAAAATTAATAATTAATCTTGAATTTGAATAATATCTTAATTAAGATTTGAATATATTGAATAAAATGGAGAGCATCATGATTAAATAGTATATCAATTGAAGGCTTAAATAAATAAATAAATAAATAATTTCAAATTTTCATCTATTCTCCCTAATTCCCCTTCTCTAATTCAAATTTTAATTGAATGAATAAAAAAATTATACTCATATAAAAAGTAAATCTTGAGCTACCACAAATAATATAATATAATTTATTAGAATTTTAGATCTACTTAAATAGGCAAATCCGTGTAGCACACGGGGGTAAAATTTCTAGTTGCGTCTAAAGCTAAATTCTGATGCGTTATGAAAAAAAATTCGTTCATAACGTGGAAAGAGAAAAACAATCAGTGATAAATAGACAAAATAATACCTACTTTGCATGATTTATTTAAAGGATTAAGACATATCTAGCATCTTGAAGTATTTTTTTAAGTATATTCAGTACCTTAAAGTATTTAGTGGTATATCTAATATCCTAAAGTATTATCTTAGATGCATCTAGCACCCTAAAATATTATTTAGTGTAATTTTACCTTTAGAGATTTAAGGTATTGGATGTACCAAAAAATAATTCAGAATATTGAATACATTTAAAAAAATATTTTAGGATGTTGGATACACATAAATATAACTTAAGATGCTAAACGTACTTAAAAAAAT